CACACTGTGCACACACACCTATTGATATGAATTCCATTCACATTTAAGTGGACTTTGCTGTCTGGTTTGTAAGTCCATAACCAGACAGCAGTCCCAAACAGTTCCAATGGTGATAAGACGTCCTGTCTTTTGTGTGTGTGTGTGTGTGCTCAGTTTGAAGACCGAGCAAGTGGGCTAATATGCCATTTTAATTGGGTACAAACAGAAACACAGAGACTGTGCACACACACCTGTGCTGTTTTGACGGGGCTAACATCCCATATGAACACCCCTACGTGGAATTGTATGAACAGCCCGTATGAACAACCCATTTGAACAACCCATATGCATACCGTGTGAACACTTGCTGTTCATACATAACAGTAAAACATTGTGATGGTAAATAACGTAAAATCTGAATCAGTAATCTTACATACGTAATTTCTTATTTCAACTTGAAGTTGTTGGGTAGGTTTTACTTTTTAATTTAATTAGAACATTAGTTCATTGATTAAGTTAATGACTTGTTCATTGTTTTCATTTAACCATTTTGTTGTGGTTATTGTTTCCATGCGCCCTGCCTTCATTTAGTTTTTTTATTTAAATACAACTTCTGTTATTGTTGACTATGCCTTCATACTGTGTGCATCTGTTCATATATAACAGTAAAACATTGTGAAGKTAATCCCCATAACCGTCAATATGAAATTAAAGTCATGTTTGGAATGAGCTCGTTGGAGCACCAATTTTACACGACATAATCAGTGTCTGATCCAAAAACGTAGGTGACTGAGTGTTTTAGAGATATAAAAAAAATCTGACACTGATTCTCGTCAAACCAAAACGGTAATTTTATAGAGCCTTCACAACAAAAAAACATAACAGTAATTATATATAGCTGCTGTTTGGTATGAACGGCCCATATGAACAACCCAACTGCATTTGTATGAACAGCCCGTATGAAAAAGCCATATGATCAACTGTTAAATCTAATAACAGAATCTATTGTTCATTATGTTGCAAAGGCTTAGCTACTGTTCATTAGGTTGCAAAGATTTGGCGATTGTTCATATCTAAAATCCTTAATTACCAAATCCGTAGGTTTGTGATTTAAGAAATTTTAAGGCTACACTCTACATTCATGGAATACACACTTAGCTTAAGGTATATCCCTCATTCATCCTAATCATTATACCTGAAAAAAGGTTCAGGGATTTGATTGGTTTATTTGAAGTTGAACTACATTGATGTCAATGTTTAGCTACTTCAAATTTGTTTCGTAATTATGTGCGTTGTATATGTTTCCCTATGTGAATTATTTGTGATTTATACCCCACGCATTCTTTTGGACAACAATTATCTGTATGACCGTGTGAAGTTGGTATGGATGCAATGTGCACGTATTGTTTAATGTTGATATCTGACAACTAAATCATGGTTTTGGAAAAAAATTACGACATGTTATACACGGTGATGAAAAATGAAAATTTATTTTACACATTTTTAGTGTATACACACTGATGAATGTGAATTTTACAGGTGCATCATCGTCAATGGTGTTGAAACTAACCAAATCCAAGGTGCTAGGTACCTCCAAACAATCGGGTGAGTTTGATGCTTATCAATTGTATAGGTTAAACAAATATGACAAACGTGTAGGAATAAATCAAACAGAAATCAAATTTTTTCTTTAACCATTAATTTATTTTTCGTTCAGGTCAGCTTGTTAAAACGGAGAGCATACCAATAGTAGATAGTTCAATAAAAGATATCAACGACGCCACCAATGAACAGCACGTGCAGTCATTCATTGGTGAAGTACGTTCAGGTATGACCGTGTGATCAATGTTATATAATGTGTATAATAATTAACTTTTAACTAACACACGTATTGATACACTATACATTGTCTGTTTTAATTAATTATGTTAGGGAAAAAGCGAACGAAAGAAGGCATCATGCGTGATAATGATTTCCAGCCCGTGGACCAACTGCGAGAAACGACAATCAATAGAGTTACTCGAAAGCAGGGAAGTTTGGCTTTCGGAAATGATAAGGAAGTACCGGTTGCGATTGATTCAAAGGATACGACATTCTGCATCAGAACTCGAACATCTCCCAAAACTTTGTATGATACAGTTAAGTCCYTAACCGTTGCCCAACGTGCAGCCATTAAGGATATGGGCTTCCAGTCGTTGCTCGATATGACATTGGACGGGATTCCGGCAAAGATTGGATTTTACGTTGTGGATAATCTCGATACAACAACAATGAACATCAATATGAACACCGGCGTAATCCCCATTACCGTCAACTCAATACATGAAGTTTTAGGGCTGCCAAAGGGGGGACTTGATCTGAATTCAGCTGATCCATCGCCATGCATCGATGATATAGTTACGACATGGCGAACACAATTCACAAAAGACAGGATGCGGCCGAAAGATGTTATGAACGTTATACAGAAATCAGCTGATGCCGGTGATTTGTTCAAGTTGAGCTTCTTAGTTATAGTTGTCAACACCCTTGCAGAATGCAGCAGGGTGGGGGTTTGCAACCTTCGTTTCTTGAACCGTTTGCAGAGTTTGAAGATGATTCCACAAATCAATTGGTGTAAGTACGTTTTTGATTGCATTACAAACAGCAAGAAGTGTTGGAGTCGAGACAGTCTCATGTCATTCTATGCTGGACCTTTGACATGTTTGACCGTAAGTAACATCTTCATAATACACATCTTAATAAAAGATGAATACGAGCATTAATATAAAGATTTTTGATCTATCCCTTTTTATGCAGTTGCTGTTTGTTCATTATACAAGATGTGAACACCCCCAAATAACGCCAGATACACCTCCAATTAGGGCTTGGACGATGGACCTTCTTCGAAAACGGCAAGAGTTCGAGATTAAACATGGCGGTCTTGGATATGTTCAGATGAAACGTATGTCCACTGTGGACTGAGATGGATGCGACACTAATGTTACATGTGGTATCGCCCGGAAAACCATGGCTGAGTCAAGTAGAAGTGATCAATCCAAAGATGCTCAAAGGACAAAGGAGGTAACATATAATATTTTTACACTTTAATGAACTATTGGGTTAAAATCCTTACATAATAAATTAGATATACGACAGTGTGCATTTGTCATACACATATATTACCACGGATGTTCGATCGTACGAACCGGATAAACCCTGTCAACCAGCCCCTGTCAGATTTAGTACCAAAAAAGTAGATAATCGTACCAGAACGGATATTCAACACTAAACCGGGTCATGGGGATCTGGATCCTTGTTTTTCTCA